TTTTTTTTTTTTTTTTTTTTTTTTTTAATTCTACTGCATTACAGAAACTGGAAGAGAAGTTCCGGCTGAACAGGCGAGAACTGATAGCCTTTGAATTCCCAGTGTTAGTGGCCTTGGAATTTGCTCTCCATCTCCCTGAACACGAAGTGATGCCACATTATAGACGTTTGATACAAAACTCCTAGCATAGGCTACCCTTCCTGGAAGGGGAGTTAAAACTGTTTCCACTTAGCTCTGTGGAGTTGCAGATACTACTGGAAATGCAAAAATGGGACTTGATACCAAAATTTTCTTCTCTCCAACACGTTTTTTCCCATCAACGTATTGGAACACTACATAGAAGTTCTTAAGACTCATGTTTATGAACTTATGTATCTTTAATTACTCAGAGCAGGTGAAGAATGAGGTGCATGTTGAATAATTACAAACTGATGCTGGAATAGGGTGCAACGGTGGGGACCAAGATTGTACATGTAGTTACCCGCATCAATCATGCAAGAACAAGAATGACAGCAGATTCCATTCCTGCCTCCTACAAATCACACATACCCCCTGCAAGCATAGTAGAGTGCATTCTTGTAGTGCTTTTTTTTACAGACCTGCTCCAACTTGCAAAAGGACTTCACAACATTGTGAAAAAGCTTTTAAAAAGATATCTTCACTGTGTCAGAGAGTGTGCCAATCTATTTTTGTATCAGGTATTGAAAGTGCACTTTTTCCTGTGGGGTGTTTGTATGTGTGACTCTGATTGGTTTTGGTCCAGGTGGCTGGCTTGACTATTTCAGAGGCTATCAGTTACTAATGTTGAAGATCAAGGTGACTTTGTGTTTACTTCAAAACATAACTACTGGAAAAGTGATAAATGGGATCATTTTTGGACACTTCCTTTTTTTTAATCTTTGGTTTTTCAACATCTTCTACCTTTCTAAAGACTACACTACTACAGCAAGAGGAAAGTCAACAGCTGACTGTACATTTTTAGTCTTGTATGTGAAAAGATGAAAGCATTTAGTATGAGATGTACGTGTAATGTTTTTCAGAAGTATCTTGTGTTAAGCCACATGCATATTTTTAACCTTCGCACTTTTCCTGCCGTGGAGATGGCTAGACTTGCACTCTGTAGTGTTGTATTTCTGTGCTCTATGTTAGAGTGCTTAATAAGCACATTTATTGTGCTAATCTTAAACAGTGTTTTATATATAAAAAATAATTAAAAAAAATCAGGAGTAGGGCTGAGCAGTATAAGTGGTGTCTTAAAGCTTTGATAGCAGAGACACCACATGTTAATAAGTTTTGATTTTTAAATGGAATTGACTACAAAATATAAAAATCAGTGGCCATTTAAATTGTTACTTATGGTCTAGTACCTTTTAGACATTTCAGTACTGGAATTTTACAGTTTCTTTCCTGCATCTTACATGATTCTGGCTGGAAAACCAGAAAAGCTGGACAGAATCACTCTGGCACTCCAGCATTATATATGCTATGCTAACATGCTTAAGGACATGTATTAAGGAATTAAATTATTTTTATATATAATTATACATGTGTCTGACCTTCTCCAATACCGATTCACTTGACAAACCCCACATTCCTAAAATATAAATGCTGATAAGGTCAAATAATATATTAAAAGAAATCTCAACCAGGAAATTCCTACTGCAGCCTTATCTCTATACATGTGGGAGTGCTTGCTTGTGGGATGGAAATGGCTTGTGAACAGAGGGTATGGGAGTGGTACACCCAAAGATGTAAACACACCAATCTTTGCTTTCTTTTACCCTTTGTTTTATCCAGTTTATTAATTTTTCTCCATTCTACCAGCAATTGCCCAAGTCAAAAGTCTTGACAGGAAAATTAAACTAGTGTCTTTTTCTAACCCTGTTGCCCTTAATCCCCATGTGAAGAAAACTTTTGACAGATCTTTCTGTCATATCTAGAAGGTCGTGAAAGAAGCCTAGGAAAAATGGGGCTTTTGCTGGGCATTACTTTTTCCCAGTCCTGTGTTAAAGGGTCACTGATTAGTGTCTCAGATCTACAGTTGAGCCTATTTTTAAATTACTTTTTACATAATATGCATATTCCTAGTTTTGTGGACCAGAGAATGGAATGGTGCTTCCACAATGAGTTTCATCATTGCTGAACTGGAGGCATAAGACTCATCTTGCTGAAAGGACTTGGCACTGGGCCACCTCACCAATAAACCTTGATTTTGCCATTTTGCTCTGATCTCTTAAGCAATACTGGAAAGTTATGAGCTGGTGCAGCATTTTTACATCTTGTATTTCAATACCTTGCTTGTTTAGCTCTAGAGCAGAAGACAGTACATCATACACAGGCCCACAAACCAAAGCATAGCTGTCATGTCCAAAACTAGTCCTTCCCACCTTGCCAGGGTCCCTATATTTAGAGTCAAAATTATTTTTCCATTAAAGAGTTTTTCCTGTTGACACCTTCCTAAAATTAAGCAGATGTCTAATATAATGGTAAGACTTCATTTTACCTTGGAGTCTGGGTTTCACGTTGCTTTACAGTTTTTCAGGGACACAGAGCAAATCACAATTGCAAGATACCAAGTAAGAGATAGGGGTAGACCTCAGAGGCACTTGAAACATTGTGTCGTCTTTTGTCTTCTGGGTTGCTACCCAGCCCTAATCAACAGTTTACAGAAGTTTTGGGGGATGAAATCTGATTGCTGGAGACTTTCTCCTTTCACTTGGAGTAACATTCAGCTATAGTTTGAATGTTGAATAAATACTTAAAAGATGGAAATATTGCACTGTTCACTTAAGAACATATATAAAGCCATATTAATACTAAATATCAAAGCACAAAGCTTGATCCGTATAATTTTCATTAGGCCAAAGGGTAGTATGTCCTCCTCCCCCCCCCCCCTGTAAAAAAAAAAAAAAAAAAAAAAAAAAAAAAATACAGGCTAAAATGATAGAGGAAATCTGTACCAAAACAGAAATGTTGATTGTTTGCCTTTGTCTTGTATGGTAATGTGCTGATTTACAAATGATTTTAGGTTTGACATAACTTAGTTTGGGAAATAATCCATTCCATATCATTCATAATAATTTCAGATTATGTACCATACAAAAAGGTTTGTTTGTTTTTTTTTAAGTGCTGTTTTCTACCAGTAACAGCAAGTAAAAAAACCTATTCAATGCTATCACTTGTTTGTTGTAAAGGTTTTTTATTGTTTGTTTCCCCTTTCCAATTCCTTCTCACAATTGTTGCTGCTTTCGATTCTTCTGCAAGAATTGTAAGTGGAAAAAAAAGAAATTAAATGCCACCCACCAAACAAGCCAAACCCACAAATGCCCCAACCCACACCACCACCACAAAACTACCAAAACTGCATGCGTGCCATCATTGACATTCAGGCCCAGATCCTAAAAAACTTCTAGACAGTGCGACATCTGTACATAGATAGAGCCCCAGTAACTTAGGTAGGACTCCAGACTGCCAACATGGTTCATGCTGCAGGCCTGAAAAACAAACTTTCCTTTTTAGTTTTGCTCTGCAGGGTAATGCGGTTTTTTTTGGTTTAAAATTGTATAGACATGCACATGCTAATCCCTTGGTGAAGAAGTTAATAGTAATACACTCTGTGAATAATGGATATCATTTGGCAATAGATGGATGGCAGAGATACTGCTGCATGGTCAATAACAAATATTCATGAAGCAAGACTAAAGGGAATATGACACTAAAAAATATTATGGAATTTGAGTACATCAGGGAGGTAAAACTCCCAGGAGGTAGCTATAATAGAAGAACCTTTATAAAAGTAACAGTTTTTTTACAAGTTAAGTGAGCAACTGAAGGCAAGCTTTGAGATAGTTTGAAATGGCTTGGGCTGCTGTCACAGTCGTTTTGGCATTCCTAAAGCCACGATTTGGGATGGTTCAACTGGAAATTGGAAATGGATGGCCAACAAAAAAACCAGATCTCACCTGGAGAATAAGCAATATGCCTCGTGATCCTGCCAAAGTCCATAAACGTTATGTACTCTTCAGGTAGTGTTGAACAGAATGCTAACACGTATGGGCCTAATCAAAGACTACTCTTGAGGGCAATGGCCTCCAAACTCAAGCCCATATTGAACAAAACTATAGGATGCATGGCACATAGACTTGGCAGTTTTGTTGTGCATTCCCATAATTTGGCCGAATTCTCATGTATTTTCTTGAGGAAAGGGGTGCCATTGCAGATAATGACCGACAGAGGTGGCTGTAGAACCTGCTAAGGAAGCAGTTTCTCTTGCTTCTCCCAAGATTAGATCCTGAGCAGAGGACTCATGTGAGCAATGCCTGGCCTACCATGGGCCAAAGGTCATAGGGATGACAGCTTTCAAGGAAGCTGAATGATTTTTGTCATCAGGTCTTTCATGAAACAAAAAGTTCCCTTTCCAGAAATGAATGCAGGTTTTAAGGGCCCCTCTACATGTGCAGGTAAAGACATGATGGAATCTAATGTACCATCTGCATGATCACACCTCCTGCCATGCCATATGTGCATGGCAGGAGGTGCAATTGTGGGGTCGCATATCAGAGCCCATCATGCCCTATTAGCAGTGTCGGGGAACCCAATCCCAGGCTCCCCCTGTACCAGCAAGAAGCAAGCTCCTGTGGCTACAAGCCCCCTTCAATTGGCGGGGTTCCCAGCCATGGGGGCACACCATGTGACTGCATGGTTACAGCCTTCTGTGTACTTGTGCCGTTGATTTCACCTTCCTTTGTAGCTGTGTCAAAGAAAAATCTTGCCTCACCAACTTACTAGAGGTCTTTGAGAGCATCAGTAAGCAGGTAGATTAGGGTGATCCAGTTGACACAGTACATTTTGGACTTCCAAAAAGCCTTTGACTGTTCCCCATCAGAAGCTCTTGCCAAAAGTTAGGTATTTGTGAGATAAGATTACAGGGAATGCTCACTCACGGATTAGAAATTGGTTTAAGGATAGAAAGCAAGAAGAGTATAAATGGTTAGTTTTCAGAATGGAAAGAAACAAACAGGGATCCCAGGGATCTGTGCTCTTTAACATATTCATAGCGATCTAGAAAAAGGGTGAGTAGCAAGGTGCCCAAATTTGAGGATGACAAAAGTATTCACAGTGGTGACCACCAGGCAGATCGTAAAAAAACTACTGAAAGATCTAGCACTATTGAGCAGATGGGGCAACTAAATGGTGGATGAAGTTCGATGCAGATAAGTGCGAAGTGATGCACACAGACAAAAATAACAAACTATACCTACACCATGATGGTCTCTCCATTAGCTGTTGCAACACAAGAAAGACCCAAGAGTCATTTTGGACAGCTTGCTAAAACCAGCACACTAAAAATAGCACAATGCTCTGCAGCCACCAAAAAAGCAAACGAAATGTTAGGGATTATTAAGGGAATTGTGAACAAAATAGAATGTATCTTTATGCCCTTTATAAATCCATGATGCATCCACCACTTGAATCTTGTGCCCAGTTCTGGTCTGTACACCTCAAAAAGGATATAGAGCTCGAGAAGGTACAGAAAAGGGCAACAGAAATGATTAGTGGCATGGAGTCTTGGCTTCCATATGGAGACGAGACTAAAGAGGCTAGGCCTCTTTAAGCTTAGAAAAATGCTTGAGGGGGAACAGAAGGGCTTACAAAATACTAAGTGGTAAAGAGAAAGTAAACAGGGATTCCTTATTTACTCTCTCTCCATACAAGAATGAGGGATCACAAACAGAAACGAGTAGGTAGTAAGTTTAAAGCTAACAAAAACAAGTTCTTTTTCACACAGTGTGTTGAAGTATGGAGCTCATTTCTACCAGGTGTTGTGGAAGCTGACACTTTAGCCAGATTCAAAAAGGGACTGGACACATTTTTGGCATCAGTAGCAACTGAGGAGGAGCGTCAGGGGTACTGAATTTCCTATACCCCAAGTGTTGGCTGCTACAAGTGAGGGAGGAACAGTGGAAAAAACCCTGGTCATGCTCTGTTCACCCTCCTGGTCAGCATCCGCCCTCTCCCACAGTGTGACACAGGATACTGGGCAAGATGGACCTGTGCGGTAAATAGCAGTGCTTATGTTTGTGGACATAAATATAAAAAGGAGAGAGCACGTTGTTTATGCATCAGTGTTACCATTCAGACTGTTTTGTTTGTTGATGCTCTTCTTTAGGTGCTACTCTTTCCCCTTAGGCATTATCTGCAAAGTTGACCATAGGAAAAAAAAATCTGATCTGCAGCAGTAACTATGCAACATGTAGAGGCTTTACTTGATAGGCAAGAGCCTCTGATAAAGCATAGGAAAAAAATCATGTTATCCAAGCTAAGACTAGAAATTTCAGCTTGAAGAGAACAGATACTTTATTCCCATAGAAGCGCCACACAGGAAGGTTTCAGAACTACAGCCGTCATGCAGGGGCTCCCCCCTCCTCACATATTCTTCCCCGGCTTGCAAGAGCCACATGTTTCACTCTCTCAGGATTCGTCTTCTCTTCCCCTACACCTTCCCTCTTTTCCATCTCCCAAAGCACCAACTTGTTTTTCCATCTGCCTCTCACTAAGATGCCAAGTTCACCCGTTCCGAGATGCTTCTCTGCCAGAGCAGCATTTTTGGAGGGAATGGGGGGTGAGGAAAAGCTAGTTTATTTATAACGCAACATTGCTGGCCCTGGATGTTCAGGAGTCATATTTCACATGAATCATAGGACTGGCTTAATAAAAGGCAGCAAGAGAAAGGCAGCAGATTAAGAGACCTAGGGAAATGGCCTGAGGACATTACAATACCAGAGCACTGTCACCGCCTGCACCTGGGAAAGATTGGTCCAGAAAGGACTGCTTACTGTTGGGGCTTCCACTCAGGTCCTGGTTTGGCCGCTGTGGAGATGGCAGCTTGCAGATTCTTTTCAGTAATAGCCAGGCGGGGAACTGCAGCGCAAGCAGTGCCTCCTTATGTGTCCCTCAGAGCAGGCAAAAGAGGAAGTGACAAGGACTTCATCAATTCAGTGCTGAAGGAGACCTCTGGCAGCCCTTCCCCTGCAATTGTAGAGGTAGCATTAGCGAAGGAAGAAGACATGGACTCCCAGGAGGGTAAAAGCTAGAAGTTTGTGACCTCTGACAGCAAGCAGAAGCCTTCATCTCCATTTGCAGTGACTTGCCTTAAGAACAGATAAGGAGCAAGTTTCACTGATGGAAGAGGCCAGACCTCCCCAAGACTGGACGGATTGAGACCAAATATCACTGAGAAGAAGCGACAGGTGGTTGTGTTTGGAGACTCCCTTTTGAAGGGGATGGGGGCATCCATCTGCCAGCCTGACCTGTTGTTTTGGGAGGTCTGCTGCTTGCCCGGATCCAAGATGTCACGGCAGGATTACCAAGACTCATCTGGCCCTGTAACTACCTCATACGGCTCATTAGAGCAATGCAAATCTTCAGTAGCCAATTCGATTTGGAGGAGATTCGGCCCAATCCAGGGACCAAATCTCCAAATCAAGTCGGGAGACCAATTAAAAGCTCTGAATCGATTCAGAAAAGCTTCAGCTGCTTCAGAGATTCAGCTGCAGATTAAACAGGCAGCTGATAGCTGCCTCCAGCTGATAAGTCTGTTGGGGAAGTGAGGGCTTGGGGCAAGCAGCCCAGCTGGGGCAGGGGATGCAGACATGGCTCACTCCAGGCAGAAGGGGGTAAGCCCCAGCTCCCAGTGCTGATGCAGGCACAGCAGTGGTGGGAGTGGTGGCTATGCCCTGCTGCCACCCAGAGTGAGACACGCCTGCATCACGCTCCCCACCCCAATGGCTGGGCAAGCAGCAGCAGGGTAGAGCCCCCCCCGGCTCCCCACACCAGGGCAGAGGCAGGCACAGCCAGAAGAACCACAGGAGAAGCCTCCATGGCTGCCCTGCTGGCCCCGTCCCCTGCCCAGCCTCCTGGCACTTAAAAAAACCAAACCAAAACAAAACAAAGACAAAACAGAGCCCCACATTCACCAGCTCTGGCAGTGGTGATCAGGGCCTTGGGGCTCATGGCAGAGCCTGCCCTGTGCAGTGTAGGGGGATGGGGGGGAGTAGGGTTCACCCCCCCACACCCTGCCTGCACCCACGTAGCTGCTGCCCCATGGCACGGGTGCAATGCAGCTTGGCAGGGCATCGCGCGCTGTCTGGGAGCTGGGGCTGCTCCATGTGT